TTTTTTCTTCTGTTACATCTGCAGTGTAACATTTTTTTTTCTGTAAGAACCAGTAGTTTTCACTGTGATCAGCAKAGAYTTTATTCAAAATAYTWCTTTTTAATTATATTATTAAATAWTACWAAGATTTCTTAGAGCCTTGTCATCAGGTAAAACATTTAAGAAAACAGCCATGCAACAGCTCAGCAAGGRTCAAAAATACAAAATGTTTGTAAATACACAAAAAAGGGACTGAATACAAATGTAAATTGTAACTATAACAATCTAATTATATTTCATATATTCATATGTATGTTTTCATTTTAGCCTCTCCAGAATTGGATCAGGAGGASGTGAAGGCAGTGAGGAAAATCAAACAATACAATCATTCCCTTGGCCACAARAGGCTTCTTGCAAAGCTGGACTTAGGGTGCAAGAACACCTCAAGGACATTTGGAGACAAATAAGACAGTTAAAGCTGAAATAATGAAAGAAGGTGGCCTATTAACCAGTTGCCTAAWCCCAAGCAAAACAAAACATTTTGTGTTATATCCCAAGACTCTGCCTCAATAAATTCATAATGGCTCTCATGTTACTGGATTCACAAGGGATCAGCCAAATTCATAGGTCCATCAGGAGCCAATAAATGCATTGGGTGAATTATGGACTCCCAGCTAAGGGTGCTGTTACCCWTTTATTTCTGAAAGCTAGAAGGATGAGCCATGGAAACAACTCCCTGGTTTCAAACACCGTTTTCCCCAGGCATCCATTATGAGTCTCGTGGAGACATGAGGATTCTGAGCTAGATGGACTTTTGATGTAACCCAAGAGAACAGGGAAACACCCCRCTGTCATGCATCCTACACCAAGTCTAGTCCTGAACACTCAGACTGTATCCTTTCTCTAAGGAGAAGTTGATCAAAACTGACTTTTTCAGTTTGAATTTTGAATACAGTTTCTTCTGCTGCTATGCCTTGTTCATCAACATGAACATCTTGTTCATCAAAGATTTGTTCCAAATCCTTTTGAAGGAGGCATTGCTCTGAAATAAGTAGATTAGATTCCTTTGTAGTGATCTCTTACAAGACCTACAGAGTATTAAATTTCATTCTTAGGATCTGATCTATTTCTTAAAAATCAGCTTTTATTTTCTTATAACTAGAACATATATGAGGAGCAACTAAATTAAAAATTTTCTTGGTAAATGCAATTTAGATGGTTTGCATGTCTTGGGGATGTTTTATCTTATGAAAATATTATAGTGCTGCTGGTAAGTAGATTTAATTTTGCTTTGCCTATAGAAATGTTATTTATGTAACTAAAATATTCACAGCAAGAAAAAATGAATATGCAGTATGTGTATATTTGCAAGATACATATTGTTTTATGACATGTGTTTACTGAAATCTAATTCCTGGAAAAGGCACAGTAAAAACAAAAAGGAAATCGTACTCGTAATAGTTTCTTTCAGAGAAGATGCAAGATCATCATGTGAACTTTTACAATATGAAGCAAACTACTTCATCAAGAGCTGAAAATAGAGAAGCTCTGTAATATTTCTAAATATGATGACTATAAACTTCTGGGCTTCTGACAATATTGACCTATTTTTTCTCAAAATGCCTCAGGAGCCACAGCATAAGTGCCTCATCCCATGATGAAGAAATCTAGCCACTCCATCTTGAGGACAGCAGCTCTCTCCTGTTTGTCTGCCCCAGTCAAAATGCTTAAAATCAGAACATTAACAAGGTGRACTGAACTGTGTTGCCCTATTGAGGTGCAAACTGGATAACCTCCAAAAGAAGAAAACTCACATACACAAGAGGACATTGGAGTTACATCCAGAAAGCTGGTATTAATTCAGGTGGGATTTCATGTGCTTTCCACTGTCAAAGGAGACTAAAGCACAAAAAGAGAGAAAATCTGCRCGTCACAGATATTTTGTCATCGCTACTGTGGATCACTGTGGGAAAACTTTTTCCAGGGGCAGCAAACCAAGTTGAGTTTTATTTCTCTTGTCCTCAAAGGTGRATTCTCCTTTTCCAGAGCTTTTCCATCAAAGCATGATCAGGTAAGACAGAAGAGCCCGGGAATCTCAGCTTTCCCTGTTGCCTTATTCACTCTCCCTGTTTGCAAGAGCACATGCAGTGGTTTGTTGTTTTGTTTCGTTTTTTTTTTTTTTAATATAAAAAATTCACCCCATTTTAATATAAATTATGCATAATATTGTTCAATATATTATTTAGTAGGGGCACTATTAGCTATAGCAAAGTATTATATGCAGTTTCTCTGCCAGAGTACTGTTGTCTTGGTTGCCTTTTCAGGTTTTACTGCTGATGAACTGACTGACCTTGGATAAGCCATGTATGTTTACTGAGTCTGTATAAATACTAAACAAAGACCTACAAGAGTCAAGAAAATTAGACGCTGTGAGATGCACACACGTTTTTGCAGATACATTTCACATAATCTTCAACTCCTCCAAATTCCACAGAATGCATTATTTCAAGAGGACTGCTATTTTCCTGAAGCTTTGTCTAAGAAATACATTTTACCTAAAATCTCTTTTGCAAAGTTGTAAAGTCAAAATTTCGCATAAAAGCACCATATTTTACATTTTGGCAATTTGGCTTAAAGGCCAATAGTGATAGTGAGGCCAGAAGAACAACAAATCAATAGASTATTTATAATGTATACTCAGAGTACACCAAAAAGGGACAATTTGAACCAAGAGCATAATTCACTGCATGTCCTTGTGTCATTTGTGCTATAAATGCTTCAGGATAAGGGATTGTATCTTACTACTTCKGACAACCAGTTTTATGGGGCATCAAATTTGTTGGATGCCTCTTRGTGTTACAAAATGCAAATTAAAAGACAACTTTGTTAAGAAAGTCAGGCTCACAAAAAAGCCCAAGCCAGTTTCAGATTAGAAGTTCTTACAGGTTTTTTCTTTTCTTCTTAAGAAGTAACTTTTGTCTATATACAGGAAATAATTCAAGCCTAAGAGCAAAAATCACCCAGATATATGATRGTAAGATATGAGATATTGTTTGATTTCAACAGGTTGTAAGCATGAATAGCACTTAAAAAATAACTTTGCAGCTATATCATATGTATCACCTAATTAAGTATACATTGCTTGCTATTATTTCCTAGCAATGTAYAAATAAAATGTAATGTTTGCTGTAAAATTTCCAAAATATGTAATATTTAAATTTTCCAAAAAGCTTTATTTCTGTTATTGGGTGAGTACTGAATGATCTGCAACAAAGATAACCATGGGTTATCTTTAGATTGGCATTATGAGTTCAATTTTTAAATATTAATCAACACTAACTACAGGGAGTACTAACATAGACTACAAAACCAAACCAATCAAGACCAGAATCTTACTTTGCAATTTCATCAAAACCTATGAGCTCATTTTTTCCAATATTTTTGATAGACTTTGTTTAGTATTTCCTTTTACAGCTTGTTATTCGCTAAATTATACATCTCAAAATTAAGAGGATTGTGCTTTAATTTAGCTTGCATGCCTACACAATATCACTTTTTTATGCTCTTAAAAGTGTGTAGTGAAGCAAACATCTCTTTTGAGAATTTATTTAGTTGCCACTACTGTCAGGTCCTGTGAGATTTTGTATCACAGAGTGTAAGGATTATGATAACTATGAAACTAAGATTCCACCACCTCACCGCATTTTAGGACATTTCTCAAGGGTCTTGCACAGTTTCGCTTTTCTTCTTCCTTTTTTTTTTAACAGACTAGTTTCAAGCTCTATCCCACTTCTCCATCTCTAGTTCTTCACTCCGTCCTCTCTTCCTCTGCCTTCTCTGTTCCTCCAAATTTTAGGTGTGGTGTTTCCTTGTTGGTTTTTTATTTGGTTCTTTTTTTTTTTTTTTTTTTTTTTTTTTTTTTTTTTTNCCGGAGGGAACGCTGCTCCATCAGAGCTGTTCCACTCCTTCCCTTATTAGAGATGGCCGAGCTCTTTGGAACAGCCGGTGCTGCTGCCACTGCCCGGGAGCCGCGGGCGGATGGTCCCCGCTGTTTCTGGGACCAGCACAAGCCCGGGGTTGCCATCCATGGCTCGCTGTGGTTGTCACCCCGGGCAGGAGCCGGGAGCGGCCCCGAGCCCTGCCCAGCGCGGCGGCTCCGGGGCAGAGCGGGAGCGAAGCGGGCACCGGCACCGCAGCCTTTGGCGCAGCTCCTGAACAGACAGCGGGATGGGCATGGGACGGGGATGGGGCACGAATACGCATGGGACACGGATGAGGAAGGTGGCGGTGATGGGARTGGKGACGAGGATGGGATGGRGGTGGGGATAGGGACGGTGARGGGAAGGGGGACGGAGATCGGGGTGGGACGGTGATGGGGATGGGGCCGGGTATAGCAATAGGGCCGGAGATGGGGATGAAGATAGGGATGTGATAGGGACGCGGACAGGGATGGGAACGGTGATGGGGATAGGGACAGGGATGAGGATGGCAGAGAGGGACGGGAACGAGCATAGGGACGGCGATGGTGACAGTGACGGGAACGGCAGATAGGGACGGGAACGAGCAGAGGGACGGCGATGGTGACAGTGACGGGATGGTGACAGTGACGGGGATGGCAGATAGGGACGGGAAGGAGCACACGGACGGCGATGGTGACAGTGACGGGATGGTGACAGTGACGGGGATGGCAGATAGGGACGGGAAGGAGCACACGGACGGCGATGGTGACAGGGACGGGAACGGCAGATAGGGACGGGAAGGAGCACACGGACGGCGATGGTGACAGTGACGGGATGGTGACAGTGACGGGATGTGCCCCCGCAGCCCCTCCCGCTGAGGAGACCCCGCTGCCGCCCCTTCCGCACCGGCAGGACAGGGGTGTGGAGCTGCTGGCCGAGCGGGTCGATGGGGCCGGCCCGCGGGCGGGGCGGGGCGGGGCGGGCAGGGCGGTCGCTCGCGGGCTCGGGGATGGATTGTGGGTGTCCGGCGCGGGCGGGCGGTGCCGCCGCCGGACGGAGCGCGGGGGGCGCCGGGCCCGGCGCGGCCTCAGGTACCGGAACGGGAGCGGACACGGGAGCAGGGACGGGGAGTGCCGCCGGGGGTGCCACGGGCGACAGGCAGGGCTGAGCGGGGCCGGGCCCGGGAGGGAACTTTGCCCCTTCGCGCGGGCGGGGGGGCCGTGCCTGCCCGAGCCGGGGGTRTGCGGTTGCCCCGTGTCCCGCCGCCCCTCTGCCCCGTCCGCCCGTGACAGCGGTGTGGGGAGCGCGCTCTCCGCTCGCCGCCTCGGGGGAGCCCCCCTGGCCGGGCTGGGGGTGTGTGGAGTGGTTCCTGTATCAGTGCGGCCGGGGAAGGGATTGTGCCCCTGTGCTCGGCGCTGCTGAGACCACGCCTCGAGTTCCGTGTCCGGTTCTGTGCGCTCGCACAGGAAAGGCACTGAGGCGCTGGAGCGTGTCCGGGGAAGGGCAGCGGGGCTGGTGAACGRTCTGGAGCACAATCCCTGTGAGCAGGGCTTGAGAAAGTTGGGAGKGGCTCAGCCTGAAGGAAGGAGGTTCAGGGGGCACCTTCTCGTTCTCTGTAACTCTCTGACAGGGGCTGTAGCCAGGTGGGGTCAGGCTCTGCCCCAAGTAACAGTGACAGGACAAGAGGACGTAGCCTTRAGCTGCGCCAGGGGAGGACATTAAGAGTAATTTCTTCGCAAAAAGGTGATTAAACCTTGAAATGAACTCCTCAGGGAGGTGGTGGAGTCACCGTCSCTGGAAGTGTTTAAGGAAAGGCTGGACGTGGCCCTCAGTGCCATGGTSTGGTTGACAYGGTGGTGTTTGGTCACAGGTGATCTCGGAGGTTTTTCTACTCTAATTKATTCAGTGACTCTGAGCTGGCACCACTGTCCTGACTCGCCGGAGGTTGGGGGCTGGTCCCTGCATTCTCTCCTTGGGCTGCAGCTCCCTTTCCTCCTGCGGTCTCCAGTGTTTCAGGTGCCAGTCCATCACACTTTTCCTTTCTCTCCTGAGATCCCCAGGACTTGAGCCGTATATATTTTTTCTTAGGCATCCACTTTTCTCTGAAGCATTAAGAATACTTATCATTTCCTTCTCTTTGTTTCTGCTACTTTTCCCCAAAGATATCTGTTGTTAAGGAGACCCCCTTTACTCTGAGTGTGGTAATTTTGCCGATTTCTACTTTGCCTGGAAGGCTCAGCTTTCAGCTGCCAGAGTGTCTAGCTGAAAGCTGCCGTGCTGGTTCTTATCAGGGATCTGTGTCTGTATATCCTGTGACAAAGCACGATATGTTTAGTCCTTGCACTAGACAAGATTAGATCTGCAGCATGTGAAATGGATGTCATTTGTAATCCTTAGCTGATGTTAAATGTGGAGCTACYGGTGCTGAGAGATTGCCCTGTGCATGGTGAGGCTTAGAGAGGCCTTGGCAGTTTGACATGGAGTTTTTTCTCCTAATGTTCCTGKACAAGAATAACAAGGAGGTCAATGTCTTTTCTGCTTGTCAACTTTTACTCTGCAGACCTGAAACTTGGGTATTTCTGACTCAGTGCAGACTTCAAGTCCAGCAGTGTCACAGGCTTGCTGAAGGTGCTGTAGGAACAAACTGGGAACTCTGTGCTTGGATAGGCTGGTAGGTGGTAAGGACTCTGAAGTATTGRACAGATTAATACTCTGCATTATTAGTTCTATATAGGAGAATTTGTTTGAAGCATTGTCTCATGAATTTTGAGTAAGTGCTGAATAGGAAACTTTCTCCTTTCAYTCATGAAGACATTCAAACATTCATKTTCTGTTTGTTTCTTAGGTACCCARATCAGCTGTGTCATGAYAGYTTGATAGTATGACTGTTACRTACCACCAGATTCCTAAAACAATGTCTTTATRTTAAGCTAAATTCTCCTATTTTGGTAATAAAATTAATATGTTTTCTGTGGAAACTTTGGTCTTGTGTAACTTCTTGTTTAGATAGAAACAATGATCTCTACTTGCAGTACGCAGTACTGGCATGGAAAACTTCGTTGCTTTTTTGTATCTTTTGCTTTCCTATATTCTGTAGATCATACAGGAAACTTTTCGAATAAAAAAATGACAGGACTGTGGTGAATGCAATAGTCATGTTGCATAAGGCTCACCTCTCCATCTCTCCTGAATATTCTTGCCTTTGGCCGCATCTCAGGGTACACTTTGGAAGTTGAATTGTATTAGATTAGTGTTGCTTTAATGTATGCTTACAGATTTTGACATAAAATGTAAATCAGTTCTTTTTCAGCTTTCTTTTTCTGGTTAAAGTGAAAGCAATGTCTCTGTTTCTCTTATCTCAAAAGTAATCAAATATGAAACAAGAATCACATGATGACAGARCATGTTAAGAGGGGGAGGAGGTTGTATCCCAGAACTTGAATTGTTGGAGCAGCTGGTATAACTGGAAAAACTAAACCCATTTATTTTGCTTGCAAGCATTATCTTGATATGTTGTCTTTCAAATTGTATATGAAATAATCTTGAGTAAATACAAGGAAGAATTTCCACTTGACTTGCTTGCACCATAGTTTGTGACTGAGCTGCTGTTCTGTGTCTTTAGTCATTCTTATGTATTTTTTTCCTCTTTTTCTTTTTTTTTGTGGTGGGGGGAGAGACAGCCTGTGTGTTTTCCTCCTAGAATAGCAACAATAGCAATAGTGCTGTTTTGCAATGATTTGGCAGTTCTTTGACTTACAAATGTTCTCTTCCCTAATTGTCAGTGCAGTAAAAGTTAGTGAATTTCATGTGATTTTCTCTTTTTGGGTGGAACTTTTAAATGTGGAAATAATCTGCACAAAGAAACATTTGATGCTGTTCACATATGATTGTGCATCAAGTATCAATGTTATATCTCCTGCCCTCAGAAGCTGCTTTTTGCATTTTCAGAAAAGCAGGGTTGGACAGGATGCTGAGCCTGTTGGCTTCAGTGCAGTCAGCTGTGTGAATGTGCACTGTAGAATACACAAAGTGAGACAACTTTTTCTAACTTTTTGACATCATAAATTAAGGTGGTGACTCTTCTTACATGATCTAGGGTGCTGCAACATTTAAAAATCAAAGTACAGTGTCATGACAAGAAAAATTTTAATGTTTATTTTTCAGAAGATCTTCATGTAACTGTCTGAAAAATGGTTCTACAAGATGACAGCACCAACTCTAAGACTGTTGGAATGGTAAATAMATTTTTAAAATTCTTTAGAAGACCTCGATGCTAATTGGTGAAAGTTATGATGATATTAAGAAATGCCTTTTAAATTAATATTCCTTTAAACGTAAAATTTYAGCTGGTGTAAATGGTTTCATGGTTTAAAGTTACACCATGTGGGAAGCATATTTATTTTCTAATAATGGAAACAAAAGGCAAGCATGCTGAAGTTTCTGCTCTATTARTAGAGTAGAATAAGTTATTTGCTTTTAAACCATAATTTCTGCTGTGGTCTCTATGTCTTCTGGTGGCTTAAATTTATCGTAASTTCGTGCACTTGATAAATTAAATGTTTTTTAAGGGTAAAATCCTGCAATAATAATGCCAAGGTGGTGGCTTCAAGTCCCTGTATGTGCCATTCACTTGAGAATTGGACTTGAAGATCCTTGTGGGTCCCTTCCAGCTCAGAATATTCTGTGGTTCTGTACATTCTATGCTCTGATAGAATGTACAGAACACACAATTGCTTGGTGTTCAGGATCTACAGTGAGCATTGTCTTTGTGGAAAAGAAGATGGATAATCACATACATGTGTCTTAAAAATGTGTCTTCCAGTTTGTGTATTTGTTTTAAGCAGTTATGGTCATTTGGTACATTCTGGAAAATGTTTGAACTTGCTGTGTGTAAATGTTGTTGAGTTCAGTGTGGGCTGAACCATAGATTGTGGGGGTCCATCTTTATAAGTTACCCCTTAATGTAAGAGGTGAAAAGCATGAATTTAGTTACTGCCCCCAGTTAACAGTTTAAAAACTCTCAGCYGTGCTTAACAGGTGATCAGAAGCARGATTTACAGTACGCATGTAGTTCTGCCCTTGCTTCCACTTCTGTTTGGGACACTAATTTGAGACTGTTTAGCATAATTTGTGACTCCTCTTGGTTCAGAATACCCCTAAAACAGAGCTTAGCAACATTTCACAGGAATAATAATAATAATAATAATAATAATAATAATAATAAAAAATGCCGCACTTCCAGGCAATAAAACTTACAGCTCTATTTTGTATAATGTTTGTTTTTCTATATAGCCCTTTTAAATTTGATTTTATGGAATGTGTTCATAGGATTTGAGTTTAAAAATTATAAAAAAAAGTTTTAGGTAAGGAGGTGTTTTGTTTTAAAAGAGTAATAATGCTGTGTCCATTTAAGGAAAGATACTGAGCTTCCACAAGACATTACATAGACACAAAAGCAGGTGCCTTATCTTTCTAGATTATTTTAAGGCCAGCAGGCCTATGTGTTCCTCCATTACCTTCCTCGTTCTAATGTTTAAATTTTTTGCTTAGGAATGTACACTTAAGAAATAGTGCCTTTCTCTGCATAGCTTAAAAAATCAGAACTTTACATCATCAGACTCTTGCCCCTCATGAACCTCCTATAGTCAGCTCATAAGGAAGGGATCATGTTCTTTGTAATATCAAAAGTACTAAAGGATCCTGTTTTCTTGCACTTCAGTGCTGTCCTGTTGGCATTTTTGATGCAGACCAAGTCTTAAGGTTCTAGATCTGTATGCCCACAGCCTAGGACTTGAGCTGCAGCAGACATTTATGGAATTTGAAATTTTAGACCATATTTTACAAAGATAAATGCTTAATGTGCCTATGCACACMACGTTTCACACTTTRCTTTTTTTTTGSTTTTTTTTCAGGAGACTATCTTCACTTTGACATGAAGTGTGAAGTTTGTTAGTCACCACTTTCGTTTCTTTTTTATGGTTATTGTGAAAGGTAATATGAGAATAGAAAATCTTGTTCTTGTGTATTCATTTCTATCAGAGCATAGAATGTACAGAAGCCAAAYATAAAGAAAAGTATGGAATTGTATTTCATTGCAAGTTCAGGAGTTAATAACTGCGATAATGTGTCTGGCTAAAAACTTCTCAAAGTAGTAGTCTCAGTCTGTCTTTGCATTTTGTGTGATATTTTACAAGGTTTGAATTCTGTCCTAAAACTTAGTAAGTATTTAGGTTTTAGTAGACTTTTGAATKTCTGCCTAATGTTTATAGGCATTTTAGCATTCTGCTTTGTAACTTTTTTAGTTAACTATTATCTTGAAGGCAATTGTACTGTACTTTGTCGTCACCTTTTCTTGTTAAGTTTTTTGCCTTGTTAGGGAAGGATCAAACAAAGGGCTATATTAGGCACATAGAAATATTAAAAAGACACTTGGTAGTCAGATGAGAAAGTAATAGCTGCTCTTACTGTAATATATAAAGGATTTCAACTTCAAGGCATAATTATGGGCTCTTTATTTAGAATTTTAACATCTACTTATCAAAGGTACAGAAGAAATGGTGTAAAAAGTACCTAGACTGTGAAGAAATTTATGTGTAACCTCTTATTTAAGAAGTACTGGATATTCCATCATCCTTTACCTCGCTCCTGTTGAGGGATTTGAAAGCAAGGGATTTGTACAAGCCTAATGCAGACAAGCTGAGTACAAGATTAAGTAACTGCAGACTGTGAACGTTATCTGTGCATGATCTCTGTTCACAGAGTGTGTGTGCTGTGTGCTTTGAAGCAGYTTGTGGTGGGAGCAGCAGAGCTGTAGGTGTGAGGGAGCATCTGATGCAGAGATGTCCAGTTGATCAGGCTGCTGCCAYTCCCTCCTGTCTCCCCAGCTGCCTCTCCCTCCTCTCTGCAGCACAGAACTGGTGGAAGGCTGCAGTGCTTTCCAGTTGTAGGATACTTTACACTTATCCATGTATTGAGCAACAGCCTGACAGGAATTGAGATTTCTTCCTTCCAGCTTGTTTTGAACTCTTTTACCCCCAGCTTCCATTTTAGATGCAGGTTACGCAAACCCATGAGCAATTTCTAGGCTATATATAAAATGTAACCTCATGTAATGGCTTGTAGGCTATTAGTCATGATAAAATGAAGGCAAAGTTTGTAGAGTTTTAATATGTAGGGTCTATTAGACAAAYTCATTAAAACTGAAAAAACGTTTATAAGCTTTCAAGCATGAAAACCTTTATGTTTGCTCGAGTTGAAGATAATACACTTACTTACTTACTCTCTCTTTGAGAATGAATGTTTTCTCCTTTATTCTCTATCAAGTAAAAACTGTAATTCCATGCTGAGTCTTTCATAATTTTGTCCCTCCCTACTTACAGATTTCTGCTTTCTTTTGTCAGTCCCACCATTCTATCAGAAAAGCAGAGTAATTATCCAGAACTGATGCCCACACATGGAATATATCAGCATAGATCCAGTGGTATAATTATACTTCAGGAACTCTGCCTGTTCATTTTTCTTTTGAAAGAAGCACTCTAAGAAATGGAGAAAAAAGTGTCAGGATTTGAACATGGCAGAGACTTTTGCAAAGGAGAGATATGAGTCAGAGCAGGAAACAGTGCTGTGATCTCCAATGCATTTGTGCATAAATGGATATTTAAATCATTAATCTGAGGAACAGGCTGCTCTGTAGAAAATAAATGTACCTTCCATGCTGAGGACATTGTAGTTAGCACTGTGTCTTTCATAAATAATTTGTAAATAATGAAAAGRCAGGAAGTATTTGTATGTTGTCATGTGTGGACAAAACAAAGTTCAATTTAAATTCACCAAACAATATTGGCAAAGTAAATGACCTGTATTTACTGTGAAAGTCAGAAGCTGCTCTGTAAAGGTGGCTCAAGTTGCAGTTCCTTGAGCAGTTCTCTCAGAGATAGTGAATGTTTGAGTTTATGGCAAACTATGTGTTCTCTGGTTAATGAACTCTTAATAAATTGTTCTTAAAAAATATATGCATAAATACGTTAATGTTAATCATAGAAATACCACATACATGTGTCACTGACATTCATTAGAGTTTGTAAAAGATTTTAGTACAAGTAGAGCAATGAATGAGTCATCAGTCTCTGTCACTTGTATTTGAAGCTTTTTAGTAATATAATTGAAAGTTCTCCTAARTTTAGGCCTTCCATAAATTTAGGCTTTGCAATGGGCAGTCATGAAGCTGTGTTACAAATCTGAATTCCCTTCTAGTAGCATTAGGGTTTTTAATAGATTTTTACTAGATTCGGTTCATGCCTGTATTTCATAAATTACCAAATAGCTATATATTTCTTTTTAATTGAACTGCATATGTAGTCTGCTTTTTAAAGTTTACAGTTATTTATTCTTTTTTTTTTTTTTCTCAAATCACCAAGGGGTTGTAATTTACCCAAGTGTCTTCAGAAATGTTTGTTGAATGCATCTAAGTTTAAACACATTTCTGACATTTGTCACAACACATCAATCTAATTTATACTGTCAGGTATTTGAATTTACCAAAACATAGTGGTTTCAAATTTTGCAGAATTTGTAGCATAAATTCCAAAAAGGCATTATGTTTTACCTACTTTTGCTTACTTCAGTGCTGAAGCAGGTGATAAATTGTTGAAAAGTCAAGATTTACTTTCTAACTGTCCCCAATACCTCTGAAAATTTCCTGCCAGATCTGTGGAAGATCTGCTTTTTAACAAGCACAGGCCTATCCTTGCATGTTGGGTCCTGTTCATAGATATAAAACAGTTGCCCCCAGTGTTTATCTTTTTGTGTGTCACTGTAATCTTTTGTGTTTTATTTCTGTATCTCTTGCCTAGGTTCCAAATGGTGTGGGTTTTTATCATGAACCGGATGAGCTCCCAGAGCAGTTCATCCACTCAGCGCAGGCGAATGGCTTTAGGAATTGTCATTCTCCTCCTGGTTGATGTGATCTGGGTGGCCTCTTCAGAACTCACTTCTGTAAGTATTGTTCCATGTATCTTAAAGGGAGAGTAAAAGAGAAAGATGCCTCAGAAACTTGGTTATTAGCCTGAATCCACTCAAAGTTACTAATAAGCTCAATTTAGTGTCTTTCTTTTGAGACAGACGGTGTTACTGATGACTTGAAAATTAAAYAGCATAAGCTCATAACTCTGTGCTTAGGGAGTTAATTTTGTTTATTGCCATATTGATTAAAATAATGCCCATATGGTTCCCAAAAAGTTTCAAATGAGCTGTGACATGACAGGCTGAGTGATGTGGTGAATTGTATTTGAGAACACCCAGAAGTCCAAGATGAAAGGACTCAGGTCATGAAGTTTAAGCCCTGTAATTGCATCTAGTTCATATATTCACCATAATGAAACTGTTGTGGTATTTACTTTATGTTAAGTTTTAGGACTTAAAAATGAGCTTTAGCAATGCAAATTGAGTTTTTAGTGAATTATGATTAAATTCAGTTTTCTGAACTGTCATTAAGTTYTATATCAGTTTTGAAACTAAGCATATACAAATGTTTGTGCTTATCATGTGATATTAATAAAACATTTTTTGCAATGAGCTGGTGGAGTCACTCTTGATACTGAAATATTATTTAGCCAAAGGAATATYTTCTAATTTATGATTACTCTGTTATTGCTTATAAAAGAGGTTTTTAWTTTAGAAAATATTTGTATGTAAATGTATTTGCAGTGCTATTTGAGTTCAGTGGGATATGAACATGCCTGGTGGGATTCAATGCCACTGGAGAAAAGCTATTTATTACTCGTATCTTGCAAACAGGCTCAGTGCCTTTTTTTTTTTGCATTGGAGGTAGCTTGTGAGAAGGTTCCCCCAAAATAGGTAGGGCCACTTGGTTCTTTTGCTCATCAATGCCTGTACTTGCAGCACTGTTATTTTGAGAACCAGGCTGATCTGGACTATGTACTTACACCTGTTCATTCRTTTTGTGAATTCTTAACTATTTGGTAATTTTGGATACTGCAATTATTTTCTTTCCACAGTATGTKTTTACAAGGTACAACAAACCCTTTTTCAGTACATTTGCAAAAACATCCATGTTTGTTCTATACCTCTTGGGATTTATTGTTTGGAAACCATGGAGGCAACAGTGTACTCGTGGGTTTCGTGGAAGACATGCAGCTTTTGTAAGTATTGTAACTGTAAATGTTGTGATATTTGTTTAAGTTTGTATAGGAAAAAACCCTTTAAATAGGTGCTGGAGATGAGCAAAGTTTACATATTTGAGATATGAACTGAATCATGACACAGGAAGACGTGGCAGCCAAAACAGTTGTCATGTGAAAGGATGTGAGTCAAGAAAAAGAAACATGAGATGTGTCAGGAGTTGTAAGGAATGCTCTACTGGGCCAGACCCTTGGTCCTKGTATTKTGTCCTGRACAATTGCAGAGGATAATTCCTCTWAACAGGAGCTTATGAACCTCACCACTGTTGGCTCTCTCCCTTTAACTCCCCCAACATCTGTAGCCAATGGAATCAGACTCAGACATTGTGGTTGATTTTTGGAAGTGACTAATTTTGTCTCTGGCACAACTACGACCTGTTTGCTAACTGTTTTGACAGTTTTAAAGCTACATTTAGGAAGGGTGGTAGAATTACAGTTTTGTTGTTGTTGTTAATACTGCTTTTTAATAGCCTTTTGCGTGAGTGACCTTCTAATGCCCATTCCATAGTTAGGCATCGCTTGTGCTAGAACCTAATACTGTTTTTCTGGACAGAAATACTTGATATTTTATTCTGAGAGGCTGRGAAGAGCAGTTGTTTTGTGCCAGTGTTTCAAAGTGCTGAACAGCAGCACTCAGGAAGCAGTAAGGCATTTGGCCTGATACTAATCTCACATTAAAATAACAAAAAATGTGATCCAAGAACATGCTGTTAATCAACATGTCTTTATAGAAAATAGCTTGTGTGAAAGGAACTGACTTCAGATTTTCTGGATATGTTAGACTTGACTGATAGTGACAGTTGTAGGCATAACATATTTAAAGTGTGGCATGACTTCTATCCAAATTATTTTTTGTTAAAAGAAGACAAAACACAAAGAACAACTAAAAATTTTCTCTTTATAAAATTCTTGAGYTAAACACCATAGAGCATTTAAAGTTGGCTGATATCTTGATACAATTTTTGCTAGATGAGCTTTTAATACCTAGTGTCTGTGCATAGTATAAAACGTATTAGACTTGGTGTTGTTCAGAATCTTCATAAGATAATTGGAGAATAAACAGAACTTAATTTCTCTACTGACAGTAATGAAATATGAACTGGAATCCAATGAGCAAGAGTGCCCAGTTTGCCACATATTGTGTGTGGCACTCATGGCACTGCTTCTGGAATTTCATTTTTACTATGAGGAAATAGTCATTATATCTGATGTTTGTCTTTGTTCAAAAGAAAAGTGTAGACAAGACTATCACGTACAGTTAGAAGATTCCTTCCCCCTGAAGGCGTGTAGTTAAATATTCAACTCTATAACTATTGCAAGTGCCTTTAAAATGTCTTTATTAACCTGGAAAAATATCCATTTATAGGGTTTTATTTCAGTAATGATTGCKTGGGTAAACACTCACACCCTACTTTAAAGCTCTCTTTCACATTAGAGGCTTTGTTTAATAGATTTGCTGTCATTATGGTAGGACAGCAAGCTGCAGGTCAGGGAACATGGGTTTGGTAAGGTGCAGAAAGGAAGARGAAAAGGAACTTTGCCTCAATAAAATGAAGAAAGAAGCAGCTTGTTGTTAACAGATGCACAATCATTTAGTGAAGAATGTGTCCCTAAGGCTGAACTTTGCAGGTTTTCTGTATTYCAAGGGCCTCATCCTGCATTCATACCTGGCTAGTTGAATTCAGTGGGGTTCTTCAAGATGTACAAGGAAGTACTGAAATTATTAAATGAACTTGTAAGCCCTCTTGGTATTGGGGAGGAGGGCTGAGGAGGAAGGGGGAATTGTGACAGAATTATGGAAAAAGTTATTAAAAAATCTTCCAAAATATTAGTTACCAATAACTTTGCCTCGATAGATTGTTACATTTAAATTTCTGTAATTAGTTTGCAGATGCTGAAGGTTATTTTGCTGCTTGTACAACAGATACCACTGTAAACAGTTCTCTGGTAAGTGCCTTGATTTATGAAGGTCACTGCTTTACAATAACATGGCACAACTGTYCAGACTTACTGTTTAAAAAATATGGCAGTTTTAACTGTAATAGGTTTTGACAAAGGGGATTGGTAACTTATATGCTTATATGTTACTAATAAGTGCTGCAAATAATGATATTGCTTATTATAAGAAATATGGGTTCTCAGCACTTCCTTGAATGTTTCTGTAGTAGTTTGGCAAAGAAATATTGTCTTGTGCAAAGAAAACCTTCACACATTCAACTCAGTACCAACTCTGTAATAGAGTGGGGGAAGCAATTGGCAAACTGCTGTGTGGATATTTTACACAGAATTCTTTGAAGAGCCATTTCTTCAGATATATTCTTAATTTAGTTTTTGGGGGATTTTTAACTTTATCTATATACATTTAAGAATARAATCTTATTGTGCTCAATTCATTAAGATCATGTGACTCTAGAAACCTAGACAATTTTGCATTAATTTAAACATCCACCAAAATTCTGATCCTAAACAGGGAGCCTAATGAAAATGCAACCACCAGATCTTTTTCATTACTTCACTCTTACAATTTATTAATTTATTCTAAACAAGCAGCTTAAAACTTGTCTTATTAGCAGAAAATTTTATTGCTCAATATACTTTTAAGTGCTTTATATATTGTAGTTCCTTTCCCAAAGTTTTTTGATGTTTCATTCTAGTTTATGAGGTTGGAGGGTCAAGGGAGGAAAATGAGTACATAAATTTTTGTGTATATGTTCTGTATTTCATGTTTCTAGTTTATAATTTGGACAGAAGCTATAGTTCTAATGAAATATCTGTATATCAATGACTTATTTTGTAATTTTAATCAGTAGGTTTGAATGTTCTTAACATAAGTTTTGTGTTCATGAGGATGTACACAAAAGTGCACAGTGCTTCWTTTTAAGTATTGTGTTTTACCARTATCTGTAACATACAATTTACTTTATGCATGAACATTTTTGATCTGTTCATGCCTAAAGTCAATCYACTGTGTGCAAMCCCACTTTAAGTTTGATTYTATTCACCAAGCTTTTCTTTATTTTTAATTAACTAAATTAATTCTACTGCTTATRATTTATATATCCTGCTTAACTGTATTTTTACTTATATTGATTCATTGCAGAGTGAACCTTTATATGTTCCTGTAAAGTTTCATGATTTACCAGCTGAAAAAAATGGCAGTAATAGTAGTGATGCAGAGAAAAGTGAGTAAAGACTTTTGGAATGCTGTAATGTTAGCTCTTYGGTGAAGGAATTGCTTTTCTCTTTGTTTACTGTAGTTGCTGTTTGTTGCAGGACTTGCTTCTTCCCCCTCCCTCCCCCACTTTCTTTTCCTTTTTTCTCYTTTCTGAAATCTCTTATTGCATGAATTGCAGTTTCATATATTTACTTTCAGGTAGAGAAAACATAGGCCTGTCGTTCAGTTTACCTTTCTTGGTCACTACAGATCCAGCCTATGTTTATCTCAAGGGACCAGCTGGGTTCAGTACTTGTGATTCTTTCCTTCTGGGCTTGTAAGACCAGCAGCAGTGAGTCAGCCTCTGGAAAAACAAGCTATTGTCCTTTTTAGAGCAGGAGCAAAGCAGTCAAAGTAAGAATTTTAAGTCTATGTGCGTTCTGGTTTTATTTAAGCCTCACTATCTTGTGATAGTACCTGAAACAGGCCTAACTATCCCAGACAATTATAGAAAAGTTGGCTTCAAAACATCCAGTTACACAATCCTCAGCAAAAGAGTCCTGCCTTATAAAAGGGGAAGTTTCTTAATTTCTAGATGGCACATGTTAAGAACCACATCAGTAGGTTCTCCTTCCTGTGGCARCATGCACCAATCACTTCAGAATTGTTCCAGCTGCAGCTTTCCCTTTACTTTTTTTAGGAAATTAGGTATTGTTTTATATGGATTTAGGCTAATATTTACCTGCAATGTGTAGTGCCATGTTTTCTTTGCTCAGGAAATTAGTGATACTTAAATAATCTTATAAATGCAACCTGATTCTAGTTTGCAAGATTAGTTAGAGAGTGGATTTCAAAAGGGCAAGTGATTTTATGGTCTCTGCTAAGCTTTGAGGTCTGTTGGACTTTAATCTTCTGAATGAAACATTGTCCTTGCAGTTGTGTRTAGTTGTGTAGGTTTTGGCTGTTTGGCTATTAGACAATTAAAGAAAATCTTATATATGTAATGTTTGTTAATGTGGAATAACTCCTGTCTAAAAACGTGTTGTTACCTTTTGTTGATCTTTTTGACAGGGAGCAGGGGTGGTGCTTTTCAGTGARGGTTTCATGGGTGGACAAATTACTGATTGAAAACAGTAATTTATTGTGCTTTGCCTTATTAGTGGCCTCCTGAATAGCAAAATATTAGTTTAATAAATTCTATTAAGTCTTCTGTTTKCATAGAAACCTGTTATTTGTACAATATTGTAATCAATGGTGTGTTAGAACATTATAGTTTTATTTGCATATTGTGTTGACTCAGAAAATTTAATGATAAAGTGAATATTTTCTTGTTTTTCTTTTCTTCCCTTCACTCAAGCACCCAAAAAGCCTCGTGTGAGGTTCAGTAATATCATGGAGATTCGGCAGCTCCCMTCAAGCCATGCTTTGGAAGCAAAGCTGTCCCGAATGTCATATCCAACAGTGAAGGAGCAGGAATCAATCTTAAAAACTGTAGGAAAACTCACTGCAAGCCAAGTAGCAAAAATTAGCTTTTTCTTTTGCTTTGTGGTATGTKCTCCATTTCTTTCAGAAAAGTATAGATGCATTTAAAACTTGTRTAATAATAGTGAAAAAGTATTAAAATGACTTGTGTTCTATAAGCCTTATTTTATAAATATACTATAAGTAAAACTTTCCTGGGCAAGATTTACTCATGAATCTGTTGGTGGCTAATGTTTCTGCCTCAGTTGTTGGGGGGAGAGAGAGATAACAGTACAAATGTAGAGGGCAGATCAGTGATACCTTTTCCAGAAGCAGCTTCAGTGGTCCTGCCAAATAGGTTCTCTCTAGTGTGGACCCACCACAGTTTTTCCTCAGGAAATAGGACTCTTTAAAAATTACTGGTATTACTATTATTATTATCATCAATAATAATAATAACAATAATACCACTGGTGCGTTTACCAGAAAATGGTGGTGTAATTTTTTCTAGGGTAGAGACCTCATGCCCAAAATAAATCCTGTTTATGCTGGACACTGCTAGCACATACATGTGTTTCTTCTTGGACTTTATGAATATTTCCACGTAAGACTAGAGAGTAGTTACGTCCCTCAGAATATATCTGAGATCTTATTAATGAGATCTCAATCAAGAAGTGAGAAAACACTTGCCATTTTATGCTTGTTTTTAACAGTGGAGATGTGTGCTCGTTTTGAGTACTCTCAAAAAACCTCATTAGGCTAATATCACATACATGCATTACTGAAATTTCTTTGCAGCCCTTGTGCAGTTATCATCTTGAAGCACTCCAAAACAAGTTAAAATTACCTTTAGTTACTACAGACTAGCTATTATAATGTCATTTTAATTTTAAGTTCWGAAGTATGTTATTTCGTTATTAAACATGTACTTGAATGTGTTTCATTCTAAGTTTGCTTCTGTCTTTTAATGGCCCTGCCACTTAAATAGAAATTAGAAGTCTCTTTAAGATAAAAAATTAGTTCTGATTTTATTTTTGGTTAAATAATTGTTTTTTCTTAAAGTAGGATTTTATTGCACTGAGAAATTTAAGCTCTGTTGTTGTTACCCRTKTTACAACAAARTTWTTTYTCTTTTTCYCCAGTGGTTCTTGGCAAATTTCTCATACCAAGAAGCTCTGTCAGATACTCAAGTTGCCATTGTCAATATCTTGTCATCAACCTCTGGTAAGTTATTTTTACACCACCAGATACTCATTATAAGGCTGTTTATAACATAAAAACTTCTTGTTACAGTGGATTTATGTAACGTTTTGACCTGAGATTTTGGCTTAAAGCCATTGAATATGTGTTTTTAGAAAATTCATTGTGCATCTTTGCAGAAGTTTTTTAGGTACCCTCACAATTCCCCTGCTTTTTGTGTATGTATGTCTATGTATTAAAGACATATTGGGGGTGTACTAGGTTTAAAGCTCTTGCAGTTTTCTGAACAAACGGCTTGTGTAAACTCTTCTGAATTTCTCTTGCAGGACTTTTTACTTTAATCTTAGCTGCAGTCTTTCCCAGCAACAGTGGAGATCGTTTTACCCTGTCCAAATTATTAGCTGTTATTTTAAGGTAAGATAATGGGAGGGAACATTTGGTCAAAAACTCCCTGATACAGTGAGAGGAGAACTCTGTCTACTTTACCTGTGCTATCTGTGACAGTAAATAATACCCATGACTTTGTAAAAAATCCTTATTTCACAGATGAATTGAGCAAGTAAATTAAGTGTTTTTAAATGCTTCATATCATGAACCATTACTAAATCTCCTTCTTCTGTGGGAAGTTAGATTAATCAGGTTTCTGTTGGAAATATGTGAACTTACTTTCTTGTTGTTTAATTGTATTTTATTTTTGTGTAAATGCTGAGAAAGGAAGAAGCATTCAGTGTTGTCAGTCTTGTTTATTGAATGCCTGGTTCTGGGAAGTTAAAAGTGGAGTTGGTTGTTTTAACTTAGAATCATGCCTTAGCAATAGAGAACTCCTTTGACTTTCCAGAAGTGGGTTTTGATTAACTAAAAATGCTTAAAGATAGAACTGTACATTTGTTTTTCTCTTTCTTTTATCTGTTTTTTTTTGGGTAAAGAAATTCTTGAGTAACATTTCACATTTCTTCTTTTTTTTGCTAGCATTGGTGGTGTGGTACTTGTTAACCTCTCTGGATCTGAAAAATCTGCTGGAAAAGATACAATAGGTATTTACTTACAGGTTTTAATCCTGGAATATGCAGGGATGAGTTAACATCTGACAGTACTAAGCAGTCATATAGCAAGCTCTATATCTTTTATTCATGTAACATTTCACAATCTGGCTTTTTAGTTTCAACTTCTAAAACTTGCCATTTGTGATATTTTTTCACCCTGTGCATATATTGGGAAAGTGTTTACATTTTAGACTTTCTACATCTTTTCCATATTTTGCATTCTGTGATCAGCAGAGGTTTAGGAGAATTGATCCTAGTGCATAACATGTTTGCATGTCTCAAGGGAGTATTTTTTCTATTTTTCCAGGTTCCCTTTGGTCTCTTGTAGGAGCAATGCTGTATGCTGTGTACATAGTCATGATAAAAAGGAAAGTAGATAGAGAAGATAAACTTGACATACCAATGTTCTTTGGTAAGACCAAAAATAACTTTGTTGAAAGTTTTAATTCAGTGTGCAATTAAATGATCTGCTTTCAAGCACTGAACTGTCTGTGAGTGGTAAAGGGGCCTAGAAAGTCAAAGAAGTAGAGAAAGCCTCTTACTCCCATGGTTATGTGTCCTTTAGGGACTGGTTGTGTGAATTGTTTCATGTTTAGAGTGTTAAAAATGAGATGTAACTGCCTGTAAGAATGCAGACAGTCCAACTGACTTAATGAAATTTTGAATTTTGTTTTCTCTTCAATTTGAAACCTGACGCAATTTTTGTTTGTGCATTTCAGCTTAAAATTCTTATATTTGTTTCCTTTGAAGGATTTAAAATACTGCTTCATGGCTGCTTTTCTATATGCATGTTGTAAAAATAGCAGATTTTAGCTGAGATTTTGGTTATGTTGAAGAATATTTATTGTGATTTACTTAATACTGTTTTTATACTCAGGTTTTGTAGGACTGTTTAATCTCCTGCTGCTGTGGCCAGGGTTCTTCCTGCTTCATTATACTGGATTTGAAGCATTTGAGTTTCCCAATAAACTGATATGGATGTGCATTGTCATTAATGGCCTTATTGGAACAGTTTTGTCAGAGTTCCTCTGGCTGTGGTATGTACTGCATACATTGAATACTTTTCACATGAGTTCTCTTACCTATATTCTCCAATGTTGAGATGTCAATTTTTTTAGGTTGGGGGTTTTGCCCTTTCCTTTTTCTTTTTTTTTTCTGTCCACATAGGCAGTTTTAGCATTGTGTCACAATGTCATTTTAAGACAACAGCTAACTTTTAAAAGTAGGTGATGCGGTCTTGTAGTAAATAAAATACTGTGTGCTTAGCTTATTCCAGAATTAACACMTGGAGACAAAAAGACTTTGTGCTACAGAGTTGCAGTAACAAAAGGAGAGTATGAATTCTGTTGTAGCAGTGTTGAGACAAAAAAAATGCAACAAAAGATCAAGGTGGAGTAGCTGGAATTCCACAAAACCTTTTGGTTTTGTTTGGGGGCGTGGATTTTTTGTTTGTTTTTTCAAGTTTCAAGTTATGTGTGAAATTTAATAATGAGATTTTTCATTTACTGTCAAACTTTTACACCAGTCTGCAGTGCYAAGTATAAATGCATTGTAGCATATGTTCCTTTGCAATTGAACTTGTTTGTTGATTAAATATATTTGTGGTGTTAATGCCATCCTGTAGGATCTGACCACAGCTCAGTATCAGGTTAAGTGCAATTTCAACATAGGCAAAATAACAAACCAACACCCCAACCCCCCCAAACCCCAAATATTGTCTCTTGTCCCAAAATCAAGTACTAGTATAGGAGTAAGAACATGGACATGCACATTCTGTTATACACATGATATTTGTTTTATGACTTAGAATGATATTCCAGTCAATTAAAGAGTAAGTTTTACTTCCAGTTCCTTTTCCCTAGAGTTTTGGATTGGGGCTAATTTCAGAGTTTGTGCTGATACCATTCTTTACTTGTCCAGTGTGTCACTATTAGGGTCTTTTTGGCTTTCTTAGGAAGTAAATAATACCATTTAATTCCACCYAACCACATATTACCAACTAACTAATGTAGGGATAGATGTGACTCTGGGTTTTTTTTAGCCATCTGATAAATTTTTATTGGATTCTGTACCATTTATRTATTTACATTTTATTGTGGACAGGTTGGTTGTAATTCCAGGGCAGTCTCCTATGCTGTTGGAAACAAAATGCAGATTTTTCTAGATGAAATTACTACATRTWAAATAGGGAAATTTCCATCATCTCRAAAGATTGGTATGGGAATTAAASCTCAACCCAGAAGACATCAATTGCCTAGTTAAGAATTCTATGTACTTTCACAGATTTATGATGGAGTGTGATGGTGTGAGTTAATTTTTGATTATTAGACRGTAACTAACAGTTCATCAAATGTCTTCCTCATTTGATGCATTACTTTAGTTGTCTTTTAACTTTTAAGTAGGACYTCTTTATTATGACTATTATTTATTGTCAATAAATTGTATAAATGTTATTATTTTGTTGTCTTTTAGGGGCTGCTTTCTTACCTCATCACTGATAGGCACACTTGCCCTAAGCCTTACAATACCTCTGTCCATAATAGCTGACATGTGCATGCGAAAGGTAAGGTACTACTAAATTTTGATCATTGTTTACAGAATTTCTTMTAATTAAATTCTTGTAGGCTTGTTCTTGTTTATTTGGTACAAGAAATTAGTCAAGTCTTGCGCTTGGTGTGTTTCCAGCCAAAAAGAATCTTTGCTGTTCAAGGTTTTCACAAGCAAAGTGTAAATTATAATGAGAATCTTTAGACTTCTCAAATTTTGTGCATGTAAAAATACGGTAAAAAAAAGCCCTCATGACTTGTATTTTACTTTTACTTTATGTCAGTGTGGATTTTGGAAAGTAAATCAGAAAAATAGAAGGATAAGTATAAGAAAAGAAAATTGAGTCATACCCTCAATAAATACTTTTGTAATGCACACATGATATACAGTATGTTTTGTGTTAGTATCACCTGCATATTCCAGCATGTTAATAGAGCAAATACTGCAGTGATTCCAACAATAATAGAACACTTGTTGGTAAGATAATTGTATTTATGTTGCTCTTGAAGCATCTGCAATACACACTTGAGGCATAAATTGTAATGGGATGGTAAATAACTCATGATAGCTATCAAGGAAACAAGAGATAAAATATCTGTAGCCTCCTCCCCCAAAATTCACTTTCATGAGCTCAGATTAGGTTTATATGTGAGCTAATGCTGGTAGCAAAAAATAAACATTTTATAGATGTATATCAATTACTAGTATTAGAAGCACAAATGAGGGACCCTGATCAAAGGCAAACTGCTGTAGACTTTGAGGTTTTTGCACAAGTGTATTTGTGCAAGCATGTCTCTGCCATACAGACATCACAATATCTGAAGTGAAGCCTCTGCTCGCTGAAGTCTCAAGTGTCCACATCTCATGTGATCTGACAGAAATTCAAACTTCCAGCTTCAAGCTGCCCTGTTAGAGCCTCTGGCCAGTCTTGTTTTCACTTAAAAGAAACGTGCACAAGAATGCCACTAGCATGGCTAATAATCGTAGGATGTGCTGAGCTGGAAGGGACCCATCAGGATCACCCAGTCCAACTCCTGACCTGCACAGGACACCCCAAAAATCATGGCTTGTAATCTAAAGATTAAAATATGAATCCATGCAGCCTTCACATGACTGTCGAACAGCATGGTAATTATACAATACTCATAATTGCTAAATTTCTCAGTATTTATTTTTCTGTAATTTTCTAACATAAATCTGAGGAAATTACAACCAAGTTTCTAATAACTAATTAAATAYTCCTTTTGGCAACTTACAGGTTCTGAATTTCATTAAAAATCMGTTCTAGGGCTGAAACATAGGGCTTAACAATTGCAAATTATGAGATCTTTGAGGAGGATCATCAGTACTTGGCAGCCAAGTACCAAAGCTGGACCAGTTTTCTCCAAAGTCTTCAGTTTTAGAGCTTTTCCTCCACACGGGGGGGCCGTGTCCACACCTCGTGGCTCTGTCATCCTGAAAAGCAGGTCCAAGRCTCCTCCTGTTCTTGTGCTCTCCATTTGGAGTTACAGAACCATGGAATGGTTTGGRTTGGAAGGGACTTTAAAGATCATCTCTTTCCAACTCRTGAAATGTCTATGAGACTTTATCCTCAGCACCAGAAACACAGCTAAAAACCTAAAAACTGGAAACAGCAGTCTTCATTCACCTTCCAGGGCAAACAGTGTGTTCCATTATAAAGAATGGATCAGTGGGAACAGGTTATGCAGTTTTTACAAGAAGCAATAGCTATAGAAATGTGTGTAATAACCTACACTGTTTAATTCAAACTGCATATCAAACTTAAAATAATAATTATTCCAAATGTAGAGCATGTCACTTGTTTTTCAAGCTATTAGTGAATGATGTTTGTGTTTTAATTCCAGGTGCAGTTTTCCTGGTTATTTTTTGCAGGAGCAGTACCTGTATTTTTTTCTTTTTTCATTGCAACTCTTTTATGTCACTATAACAACTGGGATCCAGTGATGGTGGGAATCAGAAGAATTTTTGCCTTTATTTGTAGAAAACATCGAATTCAGAGGTAGGGCAGTCACAAACCATAATCCTGTCTCTTCTTTATCCTTTCCAATGTTTTCTACTCTTCTCTAAGCCACAGTACACATAYTCTGCTTATTTTCACCTGATTTTATATTCAGGTGTACTCATTCCTTAATCGGAGTGGCTGCCAATCCATTTATTAACTGATGCAATGCTCAGAAAATGGAAAGGTGTGATGTCTGTTTACCTTTTAAAAGAAGTTTCCTAGTGGTTGTCACAAGTTTGCCCTTGATGCCTCTGGGTACTTYCTGTACCCACCACATGCAGTGAAAATTGTGCAAATTTGAGTACACTTGATAAACTTAAGGAGTATTTGCATGTTTTTMATGGCTGAGGTTCAAACAGCTGAGTGCTTGGTACTTGTCTTGGTTTTGTAACAACTAATTTAATGTTACTGTATGACTTAAAATAAAYAAATAACTATGTTTCTTTTAAGAATGCCAGAAGAAAGTGAGCAGTGTGAAAGCCTCATCCCTATGCATAGTGTTTCACAGGATGGAGACAGCTGCTGTTCATAGACWAAAGGTAAACCTTTAATAAACCTCAAACAACACACGGAAAGGGGAAGATTGGTTTTCATGAAGGCGTTTGTCTTATGCAAGGACACATTTTTAAAGATCATGCAGTCAATCTTATTCTGTATTGATAGACAGTTTTGAAGTGTATTTTCAGAATTATTATTTTTATTATTACTCATTGCCAAGCATTATTCTCTCACAGTTCTTGGTCAATGCTCTTGAAATGTAGTTTTTGACTAAAGAGTCTTACAAAGTTCATCTAAAACTGGATGTGAGTCAATAAGCCATGAGAGGCATTCAGTTTCTTGGCATGGATGATGTGTTTGGAAGACATCTGAAGTAATTACTTCACTCTTTAATGCTGTTGGGGTCTCAGTCGGGGCTACTGCAGCTCATGAAAAACACCAACCATTTAAGGAAGGTTAGARAACACCAGACTTTATCATTATGGGTCCAGAAAATGGAAAGGAGCCTTTSTGTTTGTGGTTGACAAGAATTAACTTGTTAAATTGCATTAAATATTAGCCTAAATGTTTCTCATGATAAGCATAGCTGAAGAGTTTGATAAAAAATATCACTTTTTAAGAGGAGGTTACACAAATCTCTAAAAGGATCATGACATGGTTTGTCAGTATTGGCTTGGAGCATTAAAACAGACATAGCTTAGGACTCTCCTGGCCCTGTGCTTCAGGGCTTTGGTTTTTATAATGTGTGCAGAGTTACATGAAAAGTATATTTTTATTTTCCAATGTTGTTTAARTCTAATAATGAAATTAAAATATTCTAATCAGTTCAGTAATTGTGATCTTAGGCTTAAGACATGGAGTTATTTCCTTTATTAGTAAGATGAAAACAAATGCATATGGTATTTCCTCTTTTATAATCCTGTATTATATACCCCTGATAATTTTTTTTTCTTCTTCTTAGTTTAAAAATGGAATGATGCCCAGTGAAGAGACAATCTTCTGGAAAAGTCCCTAAGGAATCATGTTTCAGTGCCTATTCTGAATTTRTAGTAAAAATAAGAAGTTTCAGTTCTTTTGAAACTCTAAACTTTTTCTCTTTCTTGCTTTCATCTGATTTTATAAATGAACAGATTTACTACATGCCTATCACCATAGAGAGTCTTAGTCCATCTAAGCAACCAACCTGCCTTATAACTCTTGAGTTGGTGACATTACTTGACAAAATCAAGGAAGCAAACGCTGTTAAGTGATTTCTTTCTTTTTTTGAGTCACAATTTTGTTAAATGCTGGACAATATTATTTTTAAAAGATACTTTAAAGTGGGTTATGTAAATAAGTTTGCCGGTCATCAAGTCTTACAGGCTTTCAGATGAAAAGCTAAATAGATATCTTACCTGTAGTAGGTACAAATTAAATTTTTTATGTTGTATAAACTATTTGCATATTAATAGGAGAAARTAGAAAAATAATTTATTAAGTGCATTCTTATAATTGCTGAGGCAGGATCTTTTTACGGTCCTGGAACACTACATATATAATGTCTTAGGCCATTTTGAGTAGCCTTGTAATGGCAATGGGTGCTGATGTTTAAAAATCAAAAAAATTGCCCAACAATCAGGAGTGCTTAAAATTTCAATGAATGGTAAAATATTTCTAATCACAATACATTTGGGCATACATTCTTATAYATGTTCTAAAACAGACTGGTTCTGTATGACAGTTATCTCTCAGACATGAAAAGCTTCACGTGTAGCTGCCACATTGTGAAAGTGATCAAATTAATTGTGAAAGGTTTCAGTTAATGGGTTGGCACTACACTAATCTGCTAAACAGTCTGAAAAGGAAAGGTGTTTGGATTGATTTTTCCTTCCTCCCAGCTGTATTAATAAATTTATTCTAAAACTGATAATTATCTTCCTTCCACTGAAGTGTTTCTATCCTTTTTAATTCAGAGAAGCTATTATAATTATATTCAGGAATATTTGAAATTAGTCAATGCCATTTTCCAGCTCCTGGCCTATAAGACACTTTGATCAAAATTAATTTTGGCTTTTGATGGATTTTATTTTTTTATAATGAATGTAGGATGGGTTTTTAGCCAGGAGTATTTTCTTCCACATAACAAGGTTATTAATAATGTAGGKTATTTCTACTGTCATTCCACACAAATACAGAAGGATGACATAGCAGAAATGCCYGTTCATGTTTTGGCACTCAATAATGATTCTTTGAAAAGAAATTTTTGTCTTTTGGTGATAAAATTGATAAAATATTATTTGAGAGGGAATGCAGGAAAGCAACATGCTCAGCTCTACATTTATAGAAGAATTTGAGCTGGTAGCTGGAATTTAATATCAGAACTGCATGTAAAGAAGAAAGACAAAATTAACCCAGGGCAATTCTGGTCAAATATTTAACCTTTATCAAGTTTTTCCTTCCTGTTTTTGATACTGGATTGCAGTACAAGCTTTGGTGATCTGAGGCATCTCCTTAAGATGAGACAGTAAGTCCTTCTTTGGATGCTAAAATAGGAATTAAAAAATCTCCAAACCAACTACAGAAAAATYGCAAACAGAAAACAGACAAAAAAAGTTGATTACAATTCATATTTAAATTTTCAAACCCCACAAGTAGAGGGATCAAAAATGCAGTATATTGAACTAAATTTTACTTCAGTAGAATATTCAGGCATTTTTTATTAAGTGGAGTTTCCTTAGGTTTTGGATTTGTCCTTCAAAATTACAACAAATTAGAGGATGCTTGCTTCAACTTTTTTYCAAGAGGTAATGTTAATGCCTACTCACAAAAAAAAAAAATCTCTTCAGTTAATGAAATGCTTCAATGAGATCCTGCTGAATATTTGATACCAGGCATTAACTCCAAATTTGAATTCAGCTGGGACTTGTGGCATCAGTGAATTAAGCCTGGGAAAACTGAGTTAGCTTTCAGATGGGCAATGACAGTATTTGTAGCAAAATTTTCTATTACGGTTTTTTGAAATTGGTCATGCTAATAGAATTGGAGCTGTAATGTCAAATGGGCAGCTGCTATTTATATTTGCCCTTATGYTCATGGCTTAAAGTCAAAGATCATCAGAGTCTCCCATGTATAKAACTGTTAATTTGCATTATTCATTAGCTTGAGAGGTGAAGAAAAGGACTAAGARAATATTATTCTGCCTCTGACCCTGGGAATGTTGAAGAATGTTCAGTAAACTCAAAGTCAGGGCCTTCCCACTGTTTTTGTTTTTAACAAAACTGTGTTAATATTTTTTTTTAATAAGATATATTTTTATCTTGTGGCTCTAGATAGCTGAAGCTGTGTTTTTGCATTAAGTTACAGTTCTTTAAAGAGTAAGAACAAAACAAACTGTCCTTTCTGAAAGGATTTTTAAACAGTGGTGCCCCTGTAGTTACAAGAAACGTGTTACACTTTTAATYACAGAAGCTCTGGCATATAACATTGTTCCTGCATTTAATAGATTGTGATGGAGTTTTTTGTACAAAACCTTGTGATTTTTAGTACAATAATATTTTATAAMTATAATGTCTGATTTGAAATGTAAATTGCATAGCTCTCTAATGGGTGCTTGGTAAATGCACAAGAGATTTAGCTTCGATTCTCAGGTACCTCTGACGCAATGGAGACGTGCTGGGTTTTTCTTCCCCATGACACAACTGGAATGTGAAGGAGCTCTCTCATGAATGCTTTACCTCTGTGTGGTAGCATAAATTGTCATTGCTCTTACTGTTTCAATTTGGGAATGCCTTTATTCTGGCTTATTTCTTGTAGGAACCACATACACTTTAGGAAAATAATGTCAAGCATTTCTTTGATTGTCATTAGGTGGTTAAGGAACWGTGATTTCCCATGCCTACAAAATGGGAAATGAATATGTGTTGCTCTGTCAAACAGTTGAACTAATTCCTGTAATCCTTTGAGGCAACCAACAATTTCTTCTGTGCGTGCAATTGAGGTTTTGGAGCTGTTTGGGTTTTATATATGAAGGAAATGATAATTTGCCAAAAGCTACAGAACATGCCTTTRCTTTTAGGGTTTTGGTGAGTCTTGCCTGGTTTGATAAGCAGTGTGCTGCTCTTCTGAACAGAGGCAGAAAAGGATTTCAGTTTTTTTGGCCACTTCATGCTGTGTTTCAGTCATGATGAGAATGTGTTCACCATGAGGGACTGATGCAGATGTAATGCTGTACAGCAAAGCACTGAGGTGTTTGGTGTTTGGCTTTCCCAGTGCTCWCTACATCTGCTCCTTGGCTTCTGGCCTGTGGAATCCCTGTAAGGAGTAGGGGCTGCAGTGTGGGGCTGGTCTGGCTGGGCACAGAGGGGGTGGGCTGCAGGGTCTGCACACAGACTCAGAGGCTGGGGCACTGCCTGGGTGGCCCTGATGCTGAGGTATTTTGTGGAAATGGGATGTTAAGGAGGGCTGTTATTCATCCCAGGGAGCTGCAGGGGATATTTGGTCTACACATGGCAGACTTCCTTGGAATGTAYTAACAAAAACAGGAGAGCCTGCAAATTGCTTTTCTTGGTGTGTGCTGCTGTAATTGTCATTCCTGTCACAATAGTTGTGCCTAGGTACTGCTRTTCACAGCTGTGATGGCTTTAAATAAGGTGGCAAAATGATTTCTTTGTCATTCTTGGTTCTGTTTCTCTTAGTGTTGAATGTTGTCATTCCTATCCCTGCTAAAAGATCCTCCTGTTTTAGGGAAATTGTTACTGAGCTAAACTAAGCTATCAGGGGTCAGACAAAATCAGTTAAATTTTGGAAATAGGTTGAGTTTATGAGGACGCTTTAAATTTCATATGGAAATAGGCCTCAGAAAGGCAGAGTGTTTGTAAATGAAGAAGTGGCATGCTCAAAATCAAGAAACAAGGGGATGTTAATATCACAGTGTTGAGTTACATGACTAACTGTAGGATGGTACTTTGAATCAGTTTTTTTTATTTGGGATAAGTTTTAAGTAAGCTACCATTTCTTTTATGGCTGTCACATGTAGTGTCTGCAAGTTAATAGTTGTAACTCCAGTAGCATTTATGTGTTCATTCTTGAACTGTTATGCATTTTTTTCCTTATCTAAACCATTATTTCATTAATGTTGTATTTTGTTTTACATGACCATTGCAGGGCATGATTTCTCAGGGAAATATGGATGATACCATACATTGTGAGAACCGATAACCAATTCCTGCTTTTTAAATCTCTACAGACATTTCCAGGTTTCACTCAAACATTTCACATCATGTAACTCTTGTGTTGAATTTCCTTAGGCTTATCAGGTAAATCATGATGAGAATGTTAAGAGCATTTAAAGATGTCAATAAAATATAYTCTGCCCAACACTTTGTTACTTTTTGGAGAAACACSCRTTCTAAGCTGATGCTGAAATGTGTGTGTGATTTTCTGCTTTGTTGTCCTCTGTGCCACAGAAATGAATAGTTACTCTGCTGATTTTGAAGCTGCATTAATGACAGTGACATTAACTTTCAGGGTTAGGCAGTGCTACAATAATGCATAATGTGATTGTGGGGTAGATCAGTATAAATCTTTAACATAAATATATTCATTTATATCATTAAATTTTTACAATGTCTGTTCACTTGGGGGATTTTTTGTTTGTCTTTCCAGTAAAGTTGCTTTGGCTTGGCTGAGATTTGATCCAAAGCTCATGAGAATCATAGACAGCATTAATAAAGTAAAACTTTATTGAAAGGAACTCTGCAGTCAGGTTGACCTTTATGCCATTGCAGTATTTCTGTCTGCAGCATATATTTGGGGTAGTTTGCTTTAAGACCTCAGTAATATAAAGGGAGGGATTTTAGTGCTGGTAAAAATGGTAAACACACTGTTGTTACTGGTCACAAAAGATATTTCCACACAGTCAGGATACAGCTTAATTATTTAGAAGGTGAATTTGTCTTTCTGTGTGACTTCTGTTTAAAATCAGCAGCGTGAGAAGTATTAATCTTTACACTTTGTTGTACACTTCTATGAGTTTTTTTGTCCATAGTGAGAACATGTGATCGTAGTCATCAGCCCTGAGCCATCAGCTTCCTSTTGATGATTTCTGCTTTGACATTTCCATTTACATGCCCTGTTGCATTCATTGCAAAATGAATTTCCTCTCCAGGTAAAGCCATTGTAATTGTATTTTGACTGCCCTAGTCCTCTGTGGTGTTAGAAATCTGACATAAAACATAAATCTGACATGGAAATGTGACTACTTGGAGAGCTGTGTTCTCACTCTTGTCATTACATCTGGTATTAGTAGGTAACCAGACCTTTTCTGGATTTGTTTATCGTGATCTGGAATGYATCCAGAATTTCATCTGGCTTTCACTTCCTACTTTTAAAAAGCATAAAGGGCTTTACTCTGAGGATTTTTGTTGAAATCAGCTGTTTAGGTCTACAAGTTCAGAGTCCTTTAACTGCAACTGAGTTTATAAAGTTGCATCCAGTTCTTTTGTTATTGAACTTCTGAAGATGTTTTTCAGGGGAGGTACACAAATTTTCTTTATGTTCCTCAGAAGAATTTGACAGATATTGACTGGATACTGAAATGGCCTCAAATAATAATTCAGGCCTGTTTCTATAGTTCTTCACCTATGTTCCTGATTTTTTTCACTTTTTTTTTAAAGAAACAACCAAATTAAACCAATCAAAACCCCACGCTTACCAAGCTGAGGGGAATTAGCCATTTAGCACAGAACTAATTTTATAGTATGCAAATATCTATGTCTTTATCAGTGATACCAGTTAATACATAACTGATATTGCCAGTCCACAAGTCTTCCTTGTCTGTATTACAGGTGATGCTTCTCCTCTACCTAATTCTGACCTCTTGCATATCAGTTAAGTTAGKTCCATTGTCAGAATGAGTAATTTCTAAAATCTTTTAGAATCTCCTTTTTCCTCTGGCTAGGGAAGAACAGGGGTTTTCCAGCCAAACAGTGCCATTTTCCTATTGGAGAACAAAAACCCTAAAAACAACTAAAATAAAAATCTTGATTGAAAATCAAGAATATTAATGGGAAGCATATTCTTTAAAATCATTGGGGTAATTTCTTGCATAGCCCAATTCCACATAAGAAGTGCTTGGGCAGTAGTTTATTGGATTGATCTCTGGTTGATCTTGATCTAACATAGAGTAAAAAATAGGTGTTTTAAATAATCATTTCATATTGAAGCTGAATGTTTAAATTAAGCACTGTGATTGTTTAAAAAATTGGAAACTTGGGAGGTTTTTTTTTTTGTTTGTGGTTTGGATTTATTTTGAAGTACATCCAATGCAGTTCCAAAGAAGTGCTCTGTTAAYTGCAGTCATGAGAGGCTGTTCACACAAGGCTGCATGGAAAGCCTAGCCAGGTGTTGGAGTTGACATTATCTGAATGGAATTAGAGAAATGTAATAAGCCTGAGATAATCCTTCAGCATTGTAAAGCTGAAGGGGTCTTTGTAATGATTTAAAAATTGTGTAAGGTCTCTTTGGAGCAGATATTAGTAAAACAAAATTGTTTATGAAACCTTGATTTATGAAACTCCTGAAACTTGAGTGCATTGAAAGATGCCCAAAACCAGTCAGAGTTTTGATGGTTGCTCTGGCATTTTGTACTGAGTTTCAGGGAATTCTCAGTTAACCTTTTAAAGTGGAAGCTACTTTAAATGAAGAGCTTTCACCTGAAGAAAACTTTTTTTTTGCCTGAAGTCTGTACAGTTTCTGATATTAATTCAGATGTTCTGGGAGCACAAGAAGTTCCAGATATGTATCCTCTATGAAACATCTTYATGCATCATCTTTTAACCATTTTCCTTAGTGAAACCAGAACGTGAATTTCTGATGTGTATTGCATTTGCACTTGAAAACCTGATTTCAGAGTGTGTTAAACCTTGATCTATTTTTGATAAAAAAGAAATGTAGCATTTTAATCTAATTTCCATTTAATAGTAAGGATATTCATGCAGAGAAAAACATATATCAGGGTTTGATGCAGTGATTTTTAAGCCAAGAAAACAGCAGGATGGCAGTGGTAAATCTGAAATGAAGATTAATATCTCTTCAGAAACTCTGGTTTCTTCCTGCCCTCTTTATACCAAATTGTGTCTCCATTATTCCAGGATAATACAAGTGAAGCAAGGACCAGAACTTTTATACTTTGTTCTTTAAAAGTGAACACTGGCTTTTGCCTGGGGTGTCTTTGTCCTGTCACTTCATTTTCCGATAGGAGGTCGGTTAAATAAAAAATARAGAATAAGTATTTTTAATTGAAATCAGATTTAAGCTATGAATTATTTTGAAATTCTCTATCTAGAGACTTAATGAATGGAAATTAAAGTCCTATATTGCAAGTACTGAACAGTGCTTATATATTTTTAACACAGCCGGTATATATATGAATACTGAAACATGCATGAGGGTGAAAATTGGAAGATTGTTTTTAAGTTAAAAGGTTTATAAATTGAAATTCTTAATAGCCAGTACCAAAACCCTATAAAAGGGCTAATGGAAAGAAAATGTAATGTATTCTGATTAACAGCCTGTGTAATACAATCAATGGGTATGATGTTTTTGTTCTGTATTGTATTTATTATATGTAAGTAAACAATAAAGATTATAAATCTTATTTTCTTAACAGAGATTGGTATTTAGTTGGGCTTACTGCTTAATGTGTTTTTTTATCATCAGTTAAGAAAAAGTGGTCACTAGGGATGGACTTGGAAGTGAGTTTTGGGCTGTGTGGTTTTACCTGAAGTCAGCCAGGATGCTGGCAGGTTCTAATTTGGTGCCAGCTTGGTCTGCGTGCTGCTTTTGGCTGGGGCGGGGTTCATTTTCTTCACCGAGGCTGGTGCAGGGCTGTGTTTTGGGTTTGTGCTGCACACACGGGTGATAACACAGAGATGTTTCTGTTATTGCTGAGCAGGGCTCACACAGGACCAAAGCCTTTCTGCTTTTCCCTCAGGTGAGGAGTTTGGGGGTGCAGGGGAGTGGGGAGGAGGCACAGTGGGATGGGTGACCCGGGCTGATCACAGGGATCTTCCAGACCGTAGCACATCGTGCTCAGTACATAAAAAATGGGGGAAGAAGGAGGAACAGCGGGGCATTTGCAGTGATGGTTTGTCCTCCCAAGTCACCATGACACGTGGAGATGGCTGAACACCTGCCCAGCCATGGCAAACAGGGAGATCATTCCTTGTTCTGCTTTCCCATTAAACTGCCTTTATCCCAACCCGTGCGGTTCCCTGCTTTTACCCTTCCCGTTCCCTCCCCGATGCTCTTGGGGCAGTGAGCGAGCGGCTGTGCAGAGCTGGGCTGTTGCCTGGGT